CAATAGCCTCACAAAACATACATCAGTTAACATAAACTACAAATGTTCCAGGTAAATGTGCATGTCTCATGTTTTTCACCATCCTGTTTAACAACAGCACCAAAATGAAAGACTCTGGATTGAGCAATGATCTTTTTTTTTTTGTTTGTTTTTGTCAAGAAAGCAACTTGTCAGGAAATTACAGGGCAGCAGGTAGAGGCAACACCCGTGTCACCTCCCTCTCCCAGCTAACGTCACCAATTTGGCTGTCCTCTTTTCCTGTGTCACCAGTTTGGCTGCACAACAAATATTCAAAGCTGCTGTTGTATTTTACACCTCAACAACACTGTTAATGGTTTTAGATGTGGCCACAGCTCTAATTCTTTGTCTTTAATTACCTCGTGAAAAAAGCAGCTGGGGATAGTTATACATACAACACATAGGAAATAAGAGATTAACCTGTGTTTACTCAGTGCTACAGGGAAGATTAGTGTACCATCATGTTTTAGACTGCGGGTCTTCATCAGGGGATAGCTGTTTGTGTCGCAGCCTGGAAAGTCATGAACCAGAAAGCTTCAAGAAATGGTATGTGAAGTGTTCAGGCTCATCCCCCTTTTTCTCTCTGATCTTCTTTGTACCTAAACTTTTGAAATTCTTCACGGCAACAGGAATGATAACTCTTTAAGTGCCTAACATCACTATAATATTATCATATATATTCTGTCATACCTTGGATTTATACTGTATGTCTTCAGTTTTTGTTTGTTTTTAATGTTATGCTATGCTTTATGCTTTGTTTTCTCACACAGTGTTTGGAATTGTTCTAATTTGTCTGTATTATTATCCTGGATTGTTACTGTTTTGTAAAGCACTTTCGCCCTTTACAAAAGTTACATCAGATTTTATAGTTATTGATGTTGTACTCTTTATTTGTTGGATCTATCCTAAGAGAGTCAAGCCAACAGAATATTTTTACACGGTGCAGATCTGTAAAGGAAAATTTAAATGTTGAGTAAAAAACCATAAAGTCAAGTTTTAAGGCAATGTGGAGCGTCATCTGTATTGAGCTGAATATAGTCTTTGAAATACATATGAAAAGGTGGGATTAATATACATTCAAAGCTTGGTAATTTATCACCTTTATTCCCTCACTGTGACTCATGACTGACAGTCTTGAGTTCAGCTGGCTGGTCAATCAAACATAGTACTCTCATGGTCAGCAAACCATTCAGTGGTAGTTTTGCCGCAGTGAGCAGGTGCCTTATCTGGATAAAAAGGAAACCAGCATCTTCATTTATTTTCTTAGCAGATGGCAACATGGAGTGTTTTAGAATTTCCTGGTAGACTTCAGACTATGTTGATTTGGACTGGATAAAACACAGCGGACCAGCACCAGCAGAAAAGAGGACTTGAGACCGCTGACTAACAGTCCAGGTAAGTGAAGATGCTTCTGAGGTCTTCTCTTATTCAGGAAGGGTTTGATAGTAGCAATTCCACATTTGTAATGTTTCTTTTTTTGTAGGCACCTTTGTATTGTGGCTTGTGATGTACAGACACCACCTCTCTGAAACCATTTAATTGGCTCTTCTTTATAGGATCGTTTTAAGGCTGTACCATCAACCCTGTGTTTGAGCACTTTTTCCTACCACACGTTTCCATTCCAGTCAACTTTCCATAAATATTCTTTGTTACACTCTGCAAACAGCCAGCCATCTCGGCAGAGACCCTCTGTGGCTTTCCCTCTTTGTGTCGATGACCGTCTTCTGGACAACTGTCAATCAGCAGTTTTCGCCATGATTGTGTGCTGAACTGGACCAGGAGGTACACACTGTTTAATCCTTCTTAAAGGGATTGGTAATGTTGGAAGAAAAGACCCAAAATGGCTGTAAGTTGAGCAGTCATGTATGAGTGATGAAGTTCTCAAATGTTAACATATATTGTTGAACTGGTACACTGTATTTAATGGGATAAACTTTACAACATATCCCTCACAACTATCATACAATTAATGGCTTTTTAAAAAGTAACATTCTTAAATAAAGTAAACATGTTTCTAAGAAGAGTTTGAACTGTTGTCTGGCTTAAAAGTCCCTTTCTTGTGTTTATGGTTTAGTAAAAAATCAACTGGTATTAACGTCAGATTGAAACAGTAAGCTGGATGACAGCATCCAGGAACAATGTTAGGGAGTAAGTTCAGTATCATATATTTAGGCACTGGGCCACTGACCAAGCTGCTATAATTGATGAGACATGAGTGATGTTGTATTTGGCCTACAGTTTAGCTTCTTGTTTTTCAGTCTGCCTGACTCTGACTGTAGATACAGTCTGTAAAAAATGAAAGTCCTTGTGTTCAAATCATTGTTGTGATGACTTGGAAACAAGAACGGACTGGCTAAGCTGTGGCTTGACAGTAAAACAAGTGAAACGTTGTTCTGCTTGTGCGTCTGTGGGTGTCACAATAAGCGCCCTGATTGTGTCACTCTTAGACATCTTTGTGGTGTTAACACAGACTGTCACAGACAGTTGGAGTCAAGGTCTCTTCAGGTCAGACCTCCACTTTGGCCCTGTGGTAATAAGAAACACTCCACCACCACTATTTCTACCTCCAGTCTCTGGTATGTTAGTCTTTCCTCCTCAGGCTGCTGGACGTGACAAGAGCCAGAAACAAGACAACCTGAGTCTGCTGGTAGCTATACTCTGTGAGAGTTGTGCAATCCACATGCACTGATGGGTATCAGGGCTTTGAAATAATAAAAATGTCTATCTTTCAAAGAAAAATGAAATAAAATAGAGGCACAAAGCCAACTGGTCCCCCAAACAAACAAAACGTCCCTCTTCCTTTCACGGGGACTGCTGAACATGCAGTCAGGGAAAACAGGGGCAGTGTTTCATCTCACATTTGTCAAGTATTTGTGTTGGATTTCATCAAACATTGGTATTTCCTGGTATTTTTTTAAACAGCAAGCTTTGACGTCTCTGCAGAAATACTTTTAATATGTTACACAACATGCTTCAGTTCTTTTGTAAAGCAGAGGGAGTTTGCTCGGGGTCCATGCCTGTCAAAATTCAGGCTGTCATCAAGTCAATGATGTACCATTGAAGGTAAAGCACGGTAATTACATGGACGCAAAGGTTTTCATTACACACACTCGCAGGTTGTGTGTTTCTGTTTATGCGAACTCTTCAGCACCGATGCTGGGATTTTCCAACGGCAGCTGGATCCTCTGCCATGACAGGGGTGTTCTTGTGTGGGGAAACGTTCATGTCTCCTCTAACATCTGGTTTCACGGCAGCTTCGGATGCCTGGGCTGAGCTGGTCGCGGTTGTTTACGAACATTCTGAGGCTTTTAAGGGATTCAGAGCGGTTCACCACATCGGCACGCTCAATGACAGGAGTGAAATCGAACATAGACACAGATAATTATTTGCATGTGAAGTTATATTTCTCACAGGAGTACAGTGGATTCTGGATGTATAAGGAACAGCCACTCCTCAGAACCAATTCATCAAATACAGCAGCTTGGTTAGCAGCCAATCACTTTAAAATAAAATGTGAAACTTAAGATTTCCCTCGCTGTTGTAGCATGAAGAGCGCAGAAGTAAAATATAGGGTAAAAATAATGGTTGAGTAATGAGTCAAGTCAGCAGGAATTTCATCCAGAAGACCAGAATTTAGTCATCTTATCCAACCTGAGTTCAGAAGTGTTCATTTATAAAGTTATCTGACATTCATCACCTTAGATACATATGCAGAGGTACATAAGGAAAGCCTTTTTTAAACTAATTAACTGATGTGTTACAAAGCATTTTTGGCCCCTGTAACAACTAAACTGTGGCTATTTTATGCTCCTTTTTAACCACTTTGATAATAGTTTGAATTTCGTTTATACAATACGACATTTTCTCCATTAAGATTTGTTGTGAAAATCTACATCTAGATCTGAAAAACGAGAAGCTAAGTTTCGCTGCGCCAACATGTTACCCTATTAAATATTACGGCTTGGTCTGTGGTCCTGATTTTAAATATCGTCACCCAATTAATGACTTAATAATGACTTAGGCCATTATTTTAATTGGATGATGATATATGATGACCTAGCTGCTACTGTGTCACCAGTTAAAGACATTTACTTTAATAAAAGTCAATCCATAAATTCTGTTTTAAAAAATGCCATCTTAATGTCAGGGCGTGCAGATGGCTGGGATGGTGGGTTAGTGCGCCCAATGAATGGAGACCACAGTCCCCATTCGTGGGTCCGGCTCCGACCATGTGCTGCATGCCCTCCCCCTTCTATTTCCCCACCTTTCACCCTGTACTATCAATAAAAGGACAAACTGCCCTAAAAATACTTAAAATAATAATAATAATAATAAATCAGCCCCCCTTTAAACTGCAACGGACAGGGTCCAGACAATCCAAGATTTAATCCATTCACGGATTACTCCAAATCTGTAAAGGCAGTATGATGTTGTTCAGGTTGTCTGATATCCATCTTACCATATTAGAGTAGGGATTTGACCTGCTTTCTTTCTCAGATAAATAACCTCAGCGTAAATACTCCAGTGATGGGAATTCCCTTTCAGTGATCCAGATCATTTGCCTCGGCGGGAACTGTGTCTTTTGGCTCCCAAATGGGACCACTGTGGCTTACAGTTCTTGGAGCCAGGTCGTTCACAACCATCACACAGGGTACTCCCTACCTCAGCGGGGATGCCGTGTGCTGCCATAGTGCTGCATTCCTGCACTGAAGTCAGGCAATGAAAAATGACAGCAAAGGTTCTTTTTTTTTTAACTAATATCTATCAAAGGTAAATGTTGAAAATTGAATTATTATTGTAAGCTAACGATTAACAGATTAAGGGACGTGTTCTCAGCTCTGCTAATGTTACACATGAAACTTGGACTAAAATTAACCTTTTATATCCAAGGTTTGAAGTGTCATTCATACATGAAGACATTTTGAGGATTTACAAAGTAATTTCTTTCTGAGGTTCAGATCTTAGGGTGACATCAAAATATTGTTTGGGATAAGTGATGAAAGTAAAGTTTGAGAACCCTGTCAGAGATGTGCATTCACGAATGGACCATTAACCAAGCATTGATTGAGCTGCTGTAGTTGGAGTGAGCTTGTATCAGTGAGGACAGACCTTATCTTGTTTTCCATGACCAACTATGACAAAGTGGCACGTGGATGTTTGAGGGGAGTCTGCTTTAAGCCCAGAACCTTGTTATGACTTACCCTCCATGTGTCTGCACTTAAGGGCCCATGGGGACCAGGGATCAGGATGAGGAGCTGCTGCTGAGGGGTGGCTGAGTTCAAGAGACGGCATGTGTTGGTATTCACTGCTGCCCCGCTCTTTCAGGCTGAAACATTGTTGGGTCAACATATCTTTATTGTTTCTAGACAGAGGCAGAGGACCATCTATCGCTCTAAACAAAGTTTCCCTGCCGCTTGCGGGCGCATGTTTTATAACCTCTTGTCGCTGCACTATATTGTGGCTCTAGGAGTGAAGCCGGCTCTCTTCATTTGAAACAGCTGATTTATGTCTGGTCCTGGACACTTGTGCTCTGTGGCTGGAATGCAGGGAATTCCAAAGACCCCTCCTCTGCCTGTCCTGTCCACACGCAAACAAATGGAGCAGGCGCCTGGTTGGGCAGATGAAGGCCCACCGGTGCTCCCACTGCAGGGCAGGGAGGCAGAATGTGAGGAATGTTCGAGGCGAGAAAATAAATCTATTCAATCCTTCATTCTGTCAATCTGTAGCTCTTTCTTTTCTGGGTATCGGTCTGTTTGTCTTATCCTGCCATGTTGCCCCTTCCTTCTGATTTTCTGCCTTCATTCTCAGACTACATCCACATGCATTCAAATAAAAGAGATTGTTTTCTCTCTGTTTAAAGAAAAAATCCTGTCCACACCATGGATGCTTTCGAATCTTTCTCTGTCCCCACAACAACAGTTGAACGCATCCACATAAAGCATGCCAGGTCAATGGGTGGCCATCATGTGGAATCAGTCCGTCAAATCACTACAGAAGAACACTTAGCATGCATGTTTAGTGTCTTTGTGGGTAAATAGCAACGGTAAACAGTGTATTTTAGACTGCATACTAAGTAGTGAATCATAGGCAATGAAAAGTAGGTTTCTTGAAAAAATGCAATTAAATCAAACAGTTTCAAGACGACTAAACTGCTTGTCATTTTGGCAAATATTTAGAACAAATAAGCAACTATTGCCATTTGCAAGTCAAAGTAGTGATGTCAACATTTCCCAGAGCTTTTGTTCTGGCTGTCCCTAAAATACATACTGAATGGCTTTTTTACAAGTCGAACTTGGAAGAGGTTATTGAAAACTTCCATTTTCAGTGACTTCAAACTCTGGCTATGCAAGGACAAAGGGCTCAAACTAACATTTTTCCCCCACATGTATATTTATATACCTGTATATGCACATGCCTTAACTGTCTGTAAGAAAGAAGTCAAAATAGGACAAAAATGAATTTATTTGTGTTGCAGGTTTTAAAAACACAAATATGCATAGTGTTCTCTTGCTGAAATGGTTATGTGACAAATGAATTACGTGACAAACAGAATAGAGCTTTGTTAAACACACCTATAGTCACAAAATGTTCAAGACTGTGTAAAAAAAAAAAACAATAATAAAGGACCTCAAACATGTCGTGAATATACTGTGGAAGTCAACAACAGAACAAAAATCTATCATTTCTACAGTCAAAGGCACGATGGCTGTGTTGAAGCTGTAACTCAAGAGTACATGCATCTGAAACATGCTGCAAAAAGAGAAGATTGAACACTTCACAGAGAGATAGATTAGTTATATGTTTGGACAATAAAAAACATAAGCAGCTCTGTCTATTGTAGCTCATTTCATCTCAATGATATATCCAGACACCATTTTGATTGCTTTTTGAGTCTCTCTCCTCTCATGGCTATAGTTTTAAAATTCCCTTTCTCCTCTCGGGGCCTCGGTGCAGCTCAAGGCCTGCTCTTTGCTGCGGGTTTATCCATTATGTTGAGCACATCATCCAGGATGGACGGGCCCAGATCGAGTTCAAGGGAAAGGAATGACCCCGTGATCTGGGCGAGGGAATCCTGTGACGTGCTCTTCTCCTTGGAAAACTCGAACTCATAATCACAGATGCGGCCCTCCTCCACCCCACTGTCCCTGTCCACCCACTCTCCATTGTACTTGGAGAGCTCCTGCTTGAATTCATTGGTAATCTCATCATTAAAGCGTTCATAAGTGTTGCAGTTTCCATTGTCGTTGTAGATTTTGGTCTCGGACTCTTTGCCATTAAAGCTGTCAAAGCTGTCGCTGCTCGTGTTGCTGTTCAGGCTGCCGTTAGCTTTGAAGGAGCCATTGCTGTGACCGCTGATATAGTAGGATGATGGCTTGTCAAAGTTGGTTTCACTCTTGTTTATTTTGTTGGCTTTGGCAACTGCCTTCGAGGTGGACTTATGTCTGCTCTCCAGCAGGTCCAGAAGGACGTCAGGCTTCGACTGGATATCTGGAGATGGAGAGGAAGGCTCACTAGCAAAGACGTCCATTGAGCGCAGCAGGGCTTCCATCTGCAGGATCTCTACCTCTTCTGTGGTCTCAGGTTTCATGGGAGCTGTAGGCCTGATGATGTCCTCCAGCGGCTCAGGGGGCATGGTGAACACAGCAGAAGAGATCGCAGGAAGAGTAAGAGCCTGGCAGCCCCCAATAGTTGGAAGAGAGATGGCGTTTTTTAGGACTGGAGATGGTGTTTCTGCAAAGGAAGCATCTCCAGTGCTGTTTGCTCTCATAAACTCACTTTGGACACCATACTGGGGGTGGACGTCTCCTTTGCCAGGCAATAGTTCATACTTCCCCTGTAGGAAGGATATATCCCCAAAGATATCCCTCTCCCCGCCTTTGCCGATGTGGATGGTGTGGCGAAAATCCCCCAAAGGTGGACTAATCATGTCCGGAGACAAAATATCTCTGAGGCGGCATTTCTTTCCCTTCTTACTGTTGGTGGGCTTCAGGTATATAGGAGCTTTCGCTGGCATGGCTGCAACTGGAGAAGAAGGTCTCAGATAGGGATGATAAAAAGTCGGAAATGCTGTAAAAGTTCAGGATGTTACAGTTCCCCTGGGGAGAAGCTCCAGTTACATTCTCAGCTGGTCGTTCAGGACTCCAAAAATAATGTCAGCATTCTCGGCATCGATCAGGGAAACTGGACTCCGAGCTGTCGGATGGCTTCTGTTCTGAAATCAGAGACAAATAAAGAATAATGTCAGCATGTTTTTCCAACCCAGCCCTGATAGATTTCCTCAAGGTTACTTTCTGCAGCTACTGATACGAAACCCTAAAACCTGCCTTTCAGGAAAGTAAAGAAATCTGGTCACCAAAACAAGTCCCACAAAATACAGAAAACCCAAGATCCTCGTTTTGCATCTGGCGAGTGTAGATGCCAGGACAGAGGAGGATGCATCTTGGGTCTAAGGCTTTCTGCTGCTCTATTCACATTTCCACACATGAGCCTCCTCTGGCCTCCAAAACTGGATGTGCTAATGTGGAACAGCTGGAGCGCAGATTGGGAGCAGAGAAGCAAAGCGGGACTTTAGTTGGATCAGAGCAGGGCAGCCTGTTTTAGGAACGAGCTACTGCTAAGACCCGCGCAAAAGATAGACAGAAAGAGGGGAGGAAAGGGTCGAGGGGGAGGGATTACAGAGGGAGAAAGGAGGTGGTGTAGATTGGGAATTGATTTGGCTTTGATAGGCTGAGGGTGGACTCCAAGTTCAATATAGGCTGAGATACCAGTGTCGTGTGTTAGGATGAGTCATTAAAGGTGGAATTGGGTCTGATAAACGGCCCCTGATTGGACGAAGCTTCTCCATTACATGCCAACTGAATATCACATCCACAGCTGGCTAAATGTAGGCCGGAGGAGCGAAAGTATTTTAAAGAAGAAGAAAGAGAAAACCACTCAGAGCAGGAAGGGAGTGACAGTGTGCGTTTATGTGTGTGTTTCCATGTGTGTGTGTGTGTGTGATGGGTGGGTGGGAGAGAGAGCACCGGTGAAGAGAGAGCTTGCCCATTTATAGACATATTTACTTATGAGCGGTCTGTCAGCGGTGACCGTCTAAAAGAGCACCGTTCCACAGACAGTTCCTGGGCGGTCAAGTCCACCCCCTACCCCCCCAACCTCAGAACGAAAAGGTTTCACTAAGAAAACATCCACATTCCTGCTGCAACCGACCCCATACAGACACACAGCATCAGCCTTATCAGAGACACTTTAAGTAGGCTATGTTTATTCAGCAGGAGCATTAGCGAGGAGACACAGAGACGCACACTTGCTGCAGATTTGAATCCAAACAGCAGGCTGGAAAACATTCACTGACATCCATTTTCAACATGGATTCTTCTGCTTCCAACCTGTTTGATGAAAAGCCTCATGAGAGATACAGCACAGCTCTTCTTACTAAGTGGTTTCTATGTCAAAGCGCTTCGCTCGTTGCGAGGTAGTTTCTCATAAGACAGACTTTATCACTAAGTGACTTAGTTCTTACAAGTTGAGCCAGCAGATTTAAAAGCTGTTTGATCAACACTGTCAAGAACATGAACTGTTTCACAGAAGTCAGAATTTCTTATTTCAGACATTTCATCCTTTCCAGATGCCATTCATTGTTTATTTTTAACCATAAAGCCAAGTATATATTCCCGTAGAGCCGGTTCTTAATTTAGCTTTACCAAAAGTTAAAACTATGTTAAGACTATGAAGCCAAGGACCACATGTTGGAGGTTTTCCTCCCAAAGCACTCCAGTATGTTGTCAGAAAAGACATTTTCCTGTATGTTACCATTTTTTATTTTATTTTTAAAAACATACAGGACAAAAGACAGTGTAATTTAACCAAAAAGATCACACCACAGTGCAAAACACCCAAATCTTAACAAATGCATTCATCTAAATTCAGTTCAAATTTGCCATCACGCTTAATTTACACCACATTCACCTGACTAGTAAAGATGAACCTTCCTATTTCAAGACATAAGCGAAACCTGAATAGCATGCTAGAAGTGAAAAGAGCTGTAAAATTTACTTGTAAATTATCTTGAAATAAAATACAGTTATAAGATTGTGCTATATCTGTCCAACTACTGGACATTTCCTCCTTTTTCCTCCAAGACCTTTAAAAACCCAACTTGTATTTTTAAAGGTTAATTTCGTTGAGAATAATAGTAAAACAAACAGAATAATACAAGCAAGGTTATTTCCTAAGCCTTTGAGATAATTTAGTTTTCATTGTCCTGAAAAATAACATTTTACATTTGAATAAAAAAAGGTGTGGAAATAAAGCACTTGTGAAGTGGTCTTTCCAGGGCCACTGTCACCAGACTTTCTTTCATATGAAACGTCTTTGCCGCCTGATAGTTGTTTGTGCTAAATGTTTCTGTTGCTTTGAAAACCATCATCTAAAAATCAGGATCACAACTCTTTCTCACTGGTTGAATTACTTATCTGAATTTTTAGTTAATCAATGTGTCTTCCTATCTTTTCATTTCTAGTAAAAGTCGATTAAGTTGAGATTACAACAGCATGCTTTCGTCTGAGGATTCATGAGTATATGCGCTCATTTCAAGATTAATATCATCGCACTGAATGCCACTACGAAGAGCTTTTTTCACCTTAAGGATTCTACTGAGTAAATGATGCTTACAGTTAAGGATACTTTTTCCTACCATGCAACCCAAATCTTGTTTTATCGCACAAATGGCCACAGTACTTTGAATCACTTCTGCAGGTTTTTGACACTAGACATTCTTCTTCTTACAAAAGAACTTAGAGAGCAACATTTTTCTGCCTACACCGGTGAAAAGTTGTGTTTATTTTAGGTAACGTTACCCTTCTTTACTGCTTTTGACTCTTGTTTTTGGGAGCAGCACTCTGCAGTACAGTAACAACATGGTACAATTTAGGGTTTGCCCTTATAACACAAATAAACCTGTCACTCTGTAAGCACTGAGCTGCTATATATAGTGACGACAAACAGTGAGGGATGCAGAACATGTGTGAGTGTGCTGAATGGCATCACCGCTCTCTCTCTCTCTCAGGGTCCTTGTGTATTCGAGTGTTGATGTGAGTGTGAGTAAAAGCCCGAGGTGAGAGATAGCAGTTTTGAATGCAGGCCATGTGTGCGAGGGGGAACGTGTTTGTTTGCTAATTGAGAGAAGGGGAAAGGAAAGGAGGGAGGAGAGGTTTGCTGCAGTGTTTGATGAAGGGTGGTGATGGGAGAGGGGTGCAGCAAATCCTTCACTTGTTTAGCTCTAGATTTTTTCTTCCTCCCACTTTTGCTTTGGTGTCTCTGTCTTTCTCTGCTGCTCCCCAGCCCTGTCTGACCTTGACAGCTGATGCTCGCTGCAGAGGGAGATCAGGCTCAGATAGAGAGTGAAAGAATCACACCAGAATGCCAAAAGCTGCTTCCTGTGGGCTCACAGTGCATGTTTTCATGTCTGCACTAACATTTCTTAAAAATGAAGGTCACTGCTTCACTTCTGGATGAAATACGTCCAATTAAAAGTTTCTATTGATTATTGGTCTGTCTCGATAAACCTGTAAAGTCTGACTGGTCTATAGGGCCTATAGGTTTGCCATGGCATGATATAGAAATTCTGCCACTTCTCACTCACACATGCTTTCATATAGCACTTTTATCACTGCCCGTCACTTCAAATTGGGATAAGCCACATGTCACTCTGGCATCATCTTGGACACTGGCCTCCATTTCACATTTTGTTTAGTCTTGATATCTAGTGAGTTTGTATAGAGAGTGTTAGAGTCAGCCAAGAATGGTGGATGGTTGTAACTGTTAGACAGACACAGGCCTTTCAGCCAGTAGAGTTTGAGCCACATGTCAAACAAAATGTCAATGTAGGCTTTGTCTTTGGTTAAGCTCTGTGAGCTTCATGCATTATTTATGCAGTGTAAGGACATCGCATGGGAAATAACCATGCTTTACACTGCAAAAAAAAAAAAAAACTCAAGTACAGAAGTCTTTTGGTCTTATTCCCAGTAAATATGTCTCATCAGGCTGAATTTGACCCACATTTACCTGACATGTCCAGAAAAGGGCTCAGTTGAAGATATTACACAAAACATAAGACCTGAATCACTTGTGACCAATAAAAAAAACCTCCCAATCCAACAAGAAGTTTCTTTCAAGAAGCTGAACTTATTCAAATATATATTTTTGAAAAAATAAAAAGTAAATTCATCCCATTTCATTGGTAGATTTTTAAAATCATTATGATGGTATCATCATTTGGATCTTTAAACTGTTATGGTGACTGTGGCTTAGATCACAAATAACAAAACACTTTCACTAAAGTAAAAGGAAAACACTTGTTTAGATCTGTCTTTATTAGGATCACATGAGCTCGTTCAACTCACCAGAGTCAATTTGGTAAAGTTTGGTGCATGTGTAAAAGGAGCTCCGTATTATCAGACCTTATGGTTTACAGTCCCTGAGCAAGCTGCAATGTATTCAGAGTGAGAATTCGTTGATCTATACTAGCACCCTCGTGGCTCTGTCCAAGAATCGAAGGTCACTGCTGCACTTCTGACTTAAACTCCTCCTGTCCCTCTCCACACAGTCCTCATTGATTATTGCTCTGCACTGATGAAATTATAATGTCTGCCCCTCTGTGTGGACAATCTGCTCTACTGTGGCAGAAAAAACTGCAAACCTTGTGCATTATCAAAGGCGGTTGAGGTCAATAGTATGGACAAAAACTACAAGCTGAAGAGGAATCTAATTCTTGCAGCTCACACAGGGGGACATCTGCTCTGGATCCCACCCAAGGTCAAAACTTGTGGCCTGTCAGAAGTCAGATGGTTTGTGAAAGCCTGGAGGTCTGACCTTCACGTCAGCCATCCTGCGGGTGGCTCAGTTCAGCTTAAATGGTGAACATGAGTGGAATTCCAGAGGCCAAAGTACGATGAAAACAATATCATCATGCTGGTCTTTTTTAGGGATCAACACATTTGATTTAATCAGAGCTTTGGTGAATTAGCATCTAACCCTGCAGTGAATATCAAGAGTCAGAATAGTGTTGGTTAAGCTTGTGTTGGCACGAGGGGAAATTAATCAATTACAGCAGCCCTCTGGCCCACTGACCCAATCAGTCATCTCATTCTCTGCAGGCTGTGAATAGTGCAGCAGGTGTATTCTGGGACATATCAAAGCCAAGGCCAGATTCGCACCCTCCCCTTGGATCCACTCCAAAGAGACACCACTAAGTCACGTGTTGATGCCCAGGCCCTGTTGGCGTCACCTCGGCAGAACGTGATCTCAGGCTTCATTTACACCTCTGGGGAAGAGGGGATCTAATGGCACCTACATTTCTAGATAGCTTTCCTGGGCAGACAGAATAAGAGCCGCTGGATTTGGACGCCAGTGTGTTATTGGGTCAGCAACAGCTATCTGTCTGGGCATGAAGCGAGCTGGAGCCAGGCCAGCCCTTTTAAAAGAGGAGCTTTGCCTCATCTGTTGGTGCTCAGAGAGTGGAGGGAGGCAGAAATTCTGGAAGAGGTGAGGAAAGCTGAAAAAAGGGGGCAGGAGGAGTAGAAATATAAACCTAGATTTCACTGAGGTATCATTTATTTTATGTTAGTGTGAGAATTAGAGAGTTTTACATCTTAAATCTTTTTAAGCACTTAAATCTGTATTTTTTCCTCATCATTTTATGGAAATTATGAGTGGTTTTTCTACACTGTCTCCCCAACATGAAGGTGGTTTTGACAGAAATGGATGGCCTGCAACTCGGAGTGGGTTATTATATTTTAATATTGGTCCCATTATAGAGTGTCCTTGACTACCAGAGTCTGTTTGATTCCACTATATAGCCTTTCCTGTCATTTGGTGGAAAGTCATGATGGTATTAGTTTTTGACTGGACCGTTCTGTCCTCATTGCTTCAGAAGTAACAGTGTCTGAACTGAATTAAACATCTCTGTCCTCTGAGGCTAATGTGACATTAAGTCCTTTGGCAAAACATCTAAGAATATTAATCCAAAGGAGGAAATTGTAGTTTAACTTGATGAAAAATGCAGATTCTTGCTCTGACCTTGGCCATGGAGGTTCTGTTATTTTGCGTTTAGCTTCCCCTTTATCTTTGGTCAAATGTTACCAAAACCCCAGACCTTTTTGCACTCAACCTTGTGAGCGAGTGACCACCTTAAATCTTCAAAACCAGTTTACTGTCAATTCAAATTTATCTAAAAACTCGATTAGAAAACTGACATGTTTGTACTCCAGGGATTTCATTTCAATAACACAAGTAGACTTTGGATTGAACATTGCATTAGAGGACCCACAAGATACAGAACTATGAACTCAAAGAACATGCGTTTTTCATTTTTGGTGTATCCATCAAGGTATTTAACACATAACAGGTGTAACATGATGTATTGAGACAAAGATAATAGGCGTCCTGTGTCGACTATAGCCACACGGATGGAAGCCTAGCAGTCAACACTGCTGATGGTGTTTGGCAAACTCAGAGCAAAAGTTTCATAGCAGAAGATTTGCACATCAAACCACGAAGAGAATGCGCACATGCGATAGCCACATCACAGGACCTTCAATGTTAGTCTCATGACCCGAAACACTTAATGCTGTCACCACTTCCTTGTTATCCACTATTAATCTGCGATAACATCCGTTTAATATCACTTCCATAAAACTGCTCACTTGAACACAGAGATTGATGCGTCACACGTTTATATCGGTGTCACATGGCCTTGAAAACACAAAAGTGTATGAGGCCGTCACAGTTACCCCTGGAAAATGCTTGTTTAAGCGAGACTGATGTCATACAGTGTTTTCCAGCTTTTTATCATGTGAACACAAGTAAAGACCACGGATGAGACCACAGAGTGTCAACTTTTAACCTTTACACCTGTGGTGGTGTGAAAACCATGTGAAGAAAGATAGTGTGTTTCTGTCGCTAAAGTTGAAGGTTGAGTTAATCTTAAAGCTGAAGACTGAAAGATTCATATAATAAATCATAAATGGTATTATTGAAAAGGAAGCATGAAAGATAGTTACTCGTTTGCTGAATGATTTGAAGTTGATTGTCTCCCAAATACAACGTGACGGGAAGTTAGGTTTGTAAATGTATTTTTACTTCACTAAAGTAGTTGAGTCATTCCTCCTACCTTAACCAGAGTCCTGTTTTTACCCAATGAGCCGTTCTCCTACTTGAGTGAAGACCGTGTGTACTTGAGCTGCCTCTGGGGGGCAGATAAATGTGGGGTTGGTATCTGCTAATTAACCCAACAGCTCGTGATTTGTCTGGGTATTTCTGGACACCTAAAAGTCACGTGTGATATAACTGGGTCAGTATATTTTTGGAGGCCGGGTAACACTACTGTAGCCTAAATATATGCTACAGTTTGATGATGCTTGGGGATGAGGAGTGTCCGCAGAGAGCTGCTGTTCAAAATATGACCTGTATTTGGCTCCTTTAAAATAGAACCCGTGCATCACTTAAATACTCCAGGAGTGATGGGATTACACTGCTGTCATTTCACATTAGTGTGGTTAAAAAATAACACGCTGTACTCCTGGAGGAGATGTGGTCAGAGCAGCATCATCAAACTATCCCCCCAAATGTTTCCTGAAAGCCACTTTTAAGAAGTTTTAAAGCACACCTTTAACATTTCACCCTGGCCTTGACTCCTGTCACGCACTCACATAGCAGAAAGACCCTCTCTTTTGAGGCTGTTATAAAAAGCACATACCACAGAGGGTAATGGTAGCCTTACAGAATAGAGCGAACTGTTTGTTACATAAAAAACCTCAATTATAGGCAAAGGCTTCTCTTTCGGGGGCCTGGTGGCGAATGGCAGGGTGGAGTATTTGTTCCGTCTTTCTTTCTCGCTCCCCTCGTGCCACCCACAAGCATGGCCGGCACTTGCCAGAGTTATCCTTGGCACAGATGAGCAGGAAGCCGATTCGAAGCGTATGAGACATGAAGGGAATGTCAACATATACCGGGTATTAAAAAGAGACGATGTCCTTTCCTCTGGATATGCCGGTAAAAACATCCCCTCAGGAGATAAAAGCGAAATCCAGCTCTGCATTTTTGAAGAACATGCTGAAAATGTCTCTTTTGGGAAGCAGAGGGGGTATCATGTTGCTCTTAACAGTTCAGCTCTTGTGTTACACGTCTGCTGACTCCTGCACAAGCACAACTTACCACACACATTTGACTGTTACTAAGCAATTCTGTCCTGCTGCAGATTTTCACAAACACAAGCAACATTATCCTGACTACAGAGCATAGGATAAAGACTATACCCGCTCTCACTCACCTCAGATAATCCAATGAGGAGATCCTGATCCTTCACAGGTATGACTGCTGCTCTCCTGATCACTGCAGCCTCAAGTCTGATGAGTGCGTGTCTGTGTGTGTTCATAGGCTGCGGAGCTGATCCTGTGGCATGTTGACACTGCCCTGCCTCCTGTCTCTGCCTCGGGGCTGCTCTCCTGTCGACTGGGACGTCTGCCGGACAGCTGTTTTGGAATTGCTCTCCGGCTCCTTTTCCCCTCTGAAGCAAGTCTCCTCCTACACCTCCCCTTTCTGCTCCCCCTTCTTCTTCTTCTCTCTCTCTCTCTCTCTCTCTCCCTGCGCTCTTTCCTCTCTCTAGCAGCAGCAGCAGCACCTGTGCATGTCTGTCCTCTCTCCTACACAGACTTAGCTTGGATTTTTTTTTTTTGATGTTTTAGGATCCTCCTCGCTTCCTGCGCCTCAGTGGAGCTGTGGTGATGAGTGGTCACGAGCTCAAAAAAGCAGAACGCCGTGTGGAGAACAGCACATTCCTCATGTGATATGTGGCTGTCTCTCCTCTAAAACTGTCCTTTATGATATATTCAATGACTAGTTTATATATGCCTGTGTGTGTGTGTGTGCCTGTCTGTCTCAGCCTGTCTGACTCTGTGTCTGCCAAAATCTGATAAGAGGAGTTCTGTAAATGCAGCCAGCAGCCGGCAGCCACTTGACTGGACTCTTCCTGTCTCTCTGTTTAAGCCTCTCCTCTCTCTCCTTATCTGTCTATCACATGTGCACAGCTAAACACTCGCATTATGTTTCCTTCTGCAAAATCCTCCTCTATGCTGTTTAATTCTACTCATTTTGTGCGATGCCCTCTGTTTCTTCAAAGCAGCAGTCAGCTGACGTGACAGTGTGTGTGGATAAACTGATTGCTGCAGAGTGCTGCGGCACTGCAGCACGTGAGGGGAAGATCATAGTGATGGATAGCACATGGGTATGCAGCAAAAATAGATCTTTACTGTAATGAATCCAAATGCAAATAAAGATTTTTACATGTCAGAGTGTGTAAAGGTTTTAACTTGATGCCCTGAAAGCCAAGGACAAACAAGCCTTTCCTGTAACCCCCCCTCCCCCTCTCTTTTAGGTTCTATTCCTTATAAAGAAAGAAATCCATCACCTTGGTAACCGGCCAGCTTTGAGGTGATGTCGCACTAAGCTGGATTCTCCCCGAAGAGGCTGCAGGAGAGGTGAGTCTGTCAGTGTGCACAGTGTAACAAACAGACAGAGAAGATACACTACATTTAGGCATTGTATGTTAGGATTTCTCTGAAACCCTGCAGTTGAATATGTGTTCAGGGGTTCCCAACCTCATTGTCTGCCCCAACCAGACAGCAGCTGTCATGTCTCTAACATGTCTTATGATAATCCTCTACTAACACCACATTAAGATATGTAAAGCAGAGATAAAGCATAATACAACCAAGATGTCTGTAGAGAATGCTTGAAAATCAATGCATACCATCAGTATGAGCGATGAGTTTGTTTTCTGGAGCCAAGGTGGTCATAGCCCGGGGGTATACGTGAAAGTGACAAGCACACTGTGTTTCTAACATCCAGTCTTTAGTGAAGCGATGAAGCAAAATATTGTTGTCATATTTCAGCTGAATTTAGCGCATTTCTCCTTAGTGTCTGTGGACCTTTATTTCTGGACAGATAAACATGAGAAACTGTCTTCTCGTTATCTAATTTGAAGAAATGTAAGAGAGCTACAAAGTTAAGCTTTACCAAAAGATGACACACAATCCTTTGTAGGTCCAAATGGATATTGGCCAAAACGCATGATGATGTTAAGGGAGAGTGTGGTTCAAAGTGAAAAATCACTTCGTAGTGTGACAGGATTTTTCTGCTTGTCTTATACTGTTGGCGTTTAAACCTCCTTTTGACTTTCAGCTGTGATGTCAAAATATCATCCCATTCTGCTTGCATGGCAGAGGGACATCTTACGTATACTGGATACCTGTGCTAAATCAATACTTCTGACCACAAAGTCCTTGCTGTAGTCAACATAAACAACCAGAACTATCTCCTGTATCACAGTGGGGTGTACCAACAGGCAAGACAAGGCCTCTGTAGCAATCTAACTATACACTTAACTACTATACTTTACTAACATACAGGTTTTAGCAGTTGTTGTGTTTACCTAATGGTATTGGTTGTCAATCGCTTCAGTCAAGATTTGTCAAAACTGGTTAACAGTGATTTTCACGTATTGTATGCTACTGCACTAAACATTATCATACAGGTGAGCAATGCTTCACAATGGCTGATGAAAAAGTGCATGTGTGAAATAAAGAATGAGCAAATATGAGTGGAGCTGGATTTTATTTCACAACCATGTGCAATCAATCTTTTAACCAAAGCAGTTGATGAATCATGCTATTTGGTAAACACAACAACCGCTGGATTACACAAACTGCAAGTGTAGGAAGCAGTGAGGGGATGTGAATGAGAAGATAACATGGGTCTTTGTAAGTTTCTCCAGGTACGAATGTCTGTAAAGGTGACTAGGAGCATTTGACAGAGTCACATGTTTTGTAATCTAATTCTTGTACTTCCATGTCTACCAAGTTCCTCGAACATAATCATCACCTTAAGTATATCGTAATGTAAAGTCAGTATCGCTTCTTCTGCTGTCCACTGTATTAAGCTAGTTAGTAGTTAGTAAGTTTATTGTCAATTTCAGTGGTATTAAAGTAGACTCGTAGTAGGTGGTTAATAGCAATCCGCTCAGACATTGCACAGTGCACATTATGACCAACATGGTGGTAAATTTAATCATCAGTCATTTTTCACAGCGTAGATAACAAAACACAGGCATGTCAAAGTTATTTAAATTGTTGGAGTATGGTGCTAAATTTGCTAAAACTTTTGTTTGATCATACAAAATTTTAATCTGAAGTTCATTACTTTTTTACTCAACGCTAATTTCATTTCAAGTACAAGTGCATTCAACAAAGATATTTGAATTTCAGGGTGTATAACCCTATTGAAAATAACTAAAATAGCATTAGATGGCTATATTGAGCAAATGTTTGTACCACATGAGAGTTTATTCATAAATCTTTTCCTTGAATCAAATAAATGTTTTTGTCTTCCTCCATAGCGTAAGGTCTTTTGGGGTTCTTGAAAGTAATATGTTGTACTTTTCCAGGTATTATTTCCTAAGTTGGATGATATTCAATACATCTTGTTGTTTTTTACCTCTCTCTTTGATAGTTGACTCTGTGATATGGGGGAGGGATGCCTGTGTTTCCATGTAGGTGTGTGTTTGTGTGAGTGTGTCTGCGGCAAAGAGATGAGGTGTCTACATGTCCTCACAAGCCTCGGTGGTAATTTAACAATAATCCTATTTTGTGACAGCACATGAAGCAGCACATCCCTCTGCAAACACTCTCACCTCTCCTTGCCCCTGCCTTCAGGACTCTCTTTCTCCCTGCTGCTGTTTTTCAAACCATGGAATCGCCGCTGTAATTACAGCTCTGTATAATGTATAATGCTTAGCGAAGCCTGACACTGAAATGAATGTGTTGTGTGTGTGTTTGTGGACATCTGAGGATGCTGAGACACCCTCTATTTAACTCACGCGGGCGTTATTTAGCACCAGTTAAACAGCACTTGTGAATGAAGCTCTTTTTAGCGCAGTGTTGTTGCGTCGCCTCAGGATGATGTCATTGGGGCGTCCATGTGGGCGGCACATGATCTGCGAGTAGAACATACAACACAGTCTTCTCATTTAGGAAGACTGTTTAACCTCGGAAACTCCAGAGCTGGAGAGGAAACTCCATGTGATCCCATTAAAAGATAAATTATTTTAGATTCAGCAAGTGACGCACAACATTTGGCATCATGTCCATGTAAGGAAATCAATCCATTCACTTATCTAAATCAACTTAGAGTTGGTCTGTGATGTGTATTCATGCCCCAGTTTCACACATTTTGATATTGGATTATCCAATGGTCAAGCACAACTTTATTAGTCACTAATTTGTGACGCTGGAGTGCTAATTTGGTAACTGTGCTTAACCTCTCCCTTCGCTTTCTTTTCTGGGGATTTTTCTACATTATTGTCAGACATTATTTGGCCCGTAGTTTTGGTAATTATGTTCACAAACTGCACAAAAAGTGGATAAAATTCAAGAATTATTGAAATGTCATTAAACAGAAGTAATTACCTGACTTGGCTTGCACATTTGGCTGCTGTACATTTACTCTCAGTTGCTGTGGTTTTAGACACGTGCTGTGGAAATAAGAGGAATGGTTCATTACATTGCACTTTCACCTGCTTCATCTGGCACTAAAAGTATGTTTAAGTTATGGTCATTGTTCTGTTGTTTCTTCAATCCTGACTGTTATTTTAGAGTTTCATTTCACCCTGTTTAACTGTCCTCAAATGCTCCCTTTACCAAACTTCCAACAGTACACTTTCCTGTACGGTATTTTCTCGTGTGTTTGCCAGGAACATGTTTGAAGTCTTATTTTTGTTTTTCCATCACAAGTTGCAATTTGGGAGAAATTAGTCAGTTTAGTTCGGATTGGTCTGCTCTGGCCCACGTCTCAGCCCTTCACACAAGGAGAGCTTTCTCTGCAGAGAGGTGGGCTGTCTAAACTGTTCCACTGAGGCCACTTTTCTCCGACCGACACACCAGTTCAGTTCAGGTACACAGGCATGCAGGGATGAGGCCACCAGTTATATTCTACCTCCCATAAAGCTGTTTATATGTGTACATTGATGAGAACAGAACGGCGGTAATACTGGACTAGAGATAACATATAGCATAAATGTGTCAATATCAGTCCTTTAATTATCTGAATGGATACACCTCCACCTTTTTGCATGTTTTTTGATTGATTACACTTTAAATTAAGAATGTATTTCCATTACGGTTACCAAGATTGTTGGGCTTAAAAAGCACTCTACATAAAAACCAATGAGTGGCATCACTCAGTATGTTTACATGACACTTGAGAAAACCAAATTATTGCCTTACTCCAATTAAAACCAGACAACTGAAGTGCATGTAAACACCTTAGTCCAACTATAATCAGTTTGAGAACTCCGATTGGAGTCAGAGAACTCCAATTAAGACACCCAGATAATGCAATTGGAATTCAATTTTCTCTTTGTAACCAGTGTAGTCGGAGTATGATCGGACAATGCATGTGCGTGTGTGTCGTGCCCCCGTAACCCCAGAACAAAAACACCAGAGAAAAAGAGACACTATCATTTAAAGAACTTTCATCTCATAAGCAACTGCAACATGGCTGAAGCATGAAAGAATGTCCGCTTTTGGACCGACGAGGAGAGTGCTGTTATGCTTTCCATCCTGGCAGATGGACGGTCGCAAAATGAGGAACGGAGACATCTTTGAAAAAGGTCCGGAAACAGTGCCACTGAAAAGACCCATATTGCCCCCTAGTTTGGGGGAGGAGGACACGTTCATGTCAATAATTCGATTTTCTCAGCTGCTTGTATACACAGACACTGATATTGTGTCAATATTTCTTTTTTCAGTATACAACCAGCGCTGACAGAAACTACAGCTCTCTATATCTCAAAATATGGTCCTGGTTCTTTAAATAAATATTACATTTCCTGATATGAATTCAGTGTTCACACACAACACAGCCTTCAACAGTGATAATTATAAGTCAAGTCTTAGCTTCATGTCAGCAGGGTTTAGCAGCTAGTTTACACTTACATCCGATACTGTTTCCTCTGGTTTCTGCTGCTGTGTTCTTTGTAGCTGCAATGTGTGATAATATTTCTGAGCAGTAACATGTTAGGCTATTTCATAGATTCAAAGCAGAAGTATACCGTGTATATCATATTTTACAGTATATTACATAGCATGTATATAAAACAGAGTGTA